TTTGTAAATTTACCTATTAATTAGAATATGTGAGGTTAACGAAATTTATCTTTATTCATATTATATATAATGGTTATTTAAAATCATAAATTAATATATATATATATATATATATATATATTATTCTAACAAATCCAGTGTGTGTGTGGAGGTTCAAACGAGAACACATCTATTTTACGAGAACACGAGAACATCCTTATTACATGTGATAATACGAGTGAGGGGACCCTGTGATGTGTGGACGACGTGTTCTATGACTTAGGTCGCGCCAAAAGTTGTTTGCGTCTATGATTTAGCATCACATGTGATGGATTACAGTATCGTATCAACAACACCCTTATCACATGTGATAATACTTGTGAGGGGGCTTAGTGGTGTAAGAGCGACTTGGCCCGCAACCAAGATCGCATCGAAAATCGCCCATGTCTCTGATTTAGTATCACATGTGTATCATATGTGATAGAATAATAGTATCACATGTGTTTGTCTATAGTAAAAATGTGTTCTCATATTCTCGTAAAATAAAGATGTTCTCGTTTGAACATTTATATATATATATATATAATCAATTTGAAATATTTATTATATTATATTATTTATTATCTTGTTTGTATTAATTCACATATTATTTTATTAGGGATTTGTATAAGTTATATTATGAAATTTTGTAATTGACTAATTTTTCAAAATGTTCTTTTTGATCATTTTACATTTTCTATCTAGTTTATCAGTTAATTTTTATCAAAAGTAATTCGTTCCTTAGTTAGCTTATGAGTCAAACATAGCCTTCAAAGTAGGCATGGCAACGAGGCTGGGATAGGGCGGGTTTTGTAATCCCTGGTCTCGGTTTTTAGTAACAGCCTTCAGCCCCGATCCCTGGCGAGTACGGGGATTAACATCCCGTCCCGGTCAAATTCCTGTCAAACCCGGGTCAAAGCCCATGAAAAATATTCGTTAATTTGAGTCTACCGAAGATCCCCGGCCTCGGTTCCAACCTCGGTTTGAGTAACAGCCCTCGGTCCTAGCCCTAGTTTGAGTCTTCCGGAGATCCCAGCTCCGGGACCCATTTTAGTAGGGAATCCCCATCCTCTTCGAGTCAGGTGAGCCGGGTTCCCCATCGGGTCGGGGAAAATCACCGTCCTTACTTAAAAGGGGCCAAAATAAACTCAATGTGGGTATAGGGACTGGATTGTTATTTTTTAATTGATGGAGGACCAATAGCGACCAAAAGCTTTTATATAATCCGTTGAGGACATTCAGCCTTCTCCCTCCTCTGTAGCTCGGTGGATTTTGTTCCCGGAGACGGTGCCGGAGAATCCGAAGATGATGATACCACTAGAACGGAGCAAATGGATGGTATTAGTGGCGACGATATGGATACAGGCGTTTACGGGTACGAATTTCGACTTCCCCTCTTATTCAACTCAATTGAAATCCGTATTGGAAATCAGTCAGCTGCAGCTCAATTACTTATCAATGGCGTCGGATTTCGGAAAGTTGTTTGGATGGTGTTCTGGTATTTTCTTATTGTATTTTCCGACATGGATTGTCCTTTTCATGGCGGCTTTCCTTGGTTTGTTTGGTTACGGTCTTCAATGGCTTCTCATTCAGAGACTCGTCTCATTTCCGTATATCATGGTTAGTAATCTGATCTCATTGTTTAACCATGCATTTACTTGTTCTTCCCCAATTTGATTTTAGGGTTTCGTTTTGCTTTGTTATCGCCTTAAAATTGAAAATTGAACTTGGAAAGTTTATGGGAAATGATAGATATATGAGGGTTTCTACACAATTCCATAACTGTAGAGAGCATTTACAGAAATTGATCTTTGTTTCTTCCCAATTCCCTTGAAGAGGTACCGTCGGTTTGATTTGCAGATAGTATTGTGTTTGCTTTTGTATTTGAAACAACTTATGCTTTTTCTAGAGAAGCAATTGTCAACTTATTACAAGTGTCACATGTCTAAAGGGTTTAACTTCTTCAAAAACTTCTTGTTACTGGTTTGCTACCGGTATAAGTTGTTTATCCAAACACTCAAAAGTGTTTATTACCGGTGTCACACCGAGATAAGTTAATAAGTTGTTTTTATAAGCAATCCCAAACCTAAGGAGTTGGATACCATTATTTATAAATAATTTATAAAAAAATTATAAAAATAATTAAATTATATTTTTATTAGTTGATTATTATAAAACAAATGTTTTTAACATTTTTTAAAACTTTATTTCATACAATCCTATGAAATCCCGTGAAATCTCGAGCATCCAGAGGATTTCAAAATTCTATGTTTGTAGGATTTCAAATAAATCCTAGGATTTCAAATCCGGACAATCCAACAAGCCAAACATAAATTAGAATGGATTTGAAATCCAAATCTCCCAAATCTCCCAAATCCAAACGAGATCTTGGTTCTTCCATGTCCCATAACTTTTAAAAGGTCAATCTTCAACAGATTATATAAACCGGAGTAAATGAAGATTTTGAGTAAAAGCAGAATAGGGGCCGTTTACCAAACACTTACCCGGTACTTGTTTACCGTTAAAATTTAGCATTATTATTTACTTACCATGTAAGATTTTAATCCATCCAAAAGACATTGTATGCAACAATTTACCCGGTAAACGCTTACCGTGGTAAGAGTCGTCGCCCTCACTTGCCGGGTAAGACTCTTGATCCTTGTCTCGCTCTTACGGGTAAGATTTTTGGTCCTTACCATATTCATGCAGTAAGGTAATCTGACTTGGTAAGCATTTATCCGAGTAAGCGTTTGGTAAACAGCCCTTAATTTATTTATTTAGTGGAAATGTAATATGTTGTGATTACTTTAACCCTTGGTATAGCAAGTGAAAATGCACTTTACAATGTGGTGCCTAAAATGCAGCATATTAGTATTTAACTAGAAGGGAACTCGTGTAATGCAGCGAGATATATCTCGATTTTATTGTTTCGTTATATTCCGTCTCTATATGTTTTTGTGTAATTTTTTTAATTCTAATTTAATTTAGATTTAGTAACAAAGTAATAATATAGTTTTTTATAAATATTATAATTAAGTAGTTTGTTAGAAGTCAATGATTATCTCAATTATATTTTAGATTTTTTAAATATTTAAAATGAGATATTTATCCTCTATTTGATTATGTTTACCCATAGTTAGTTACACGAATTTTAAACATGAAGCTTTAATAAGTTGTACTTACGCACAATTTACTTGTAATTTTGAATTTTAGGTAATATGCATCAATAAACATTATTTCATGTTTAAAAGATGGTTTTTAAGAGTTTTTGTCAAATGCTTTATAATATAATATAGGTGAGTATGGGTGGCAAAGCAAGCAAACTTATTTGGTTGTTTGGTATGTTTGGTGTGTGGTTGTTAGTTATATGATGCCATTTGGTATATCTGTTTCTAAGAGCCTTACCTAATCCCTATTTTTCTAAATAAAGGAAGACCTTAACTAAAGAATAAGGGCCTGTTTATTAGTAACTTAATGAACTTATTGAGACTCGTAGCTTATTCTGTCAGCTATACATGACTGTTTGATAATGGCTTAATGATATATAACCGGCACGTTCAATAAGCTTCTAGGGGGAGTTTTATGCCAAAAACCATGAATTTTTCCGAAACTTCCCCTTACGCTCCTTTCATCTATGAAAAAATGGTCCCAAACAAAAGACCTTCTCGATCTATACATACAGAAAACAAACCGAACAACCCCTAAATGGAAAATCGACCAAACAGCCCCTACCCCTATGAGAATCTATGTTTCTGTAAACCAGACCAAAATGTACCTGGTATATTTAATTCGAAGATAAGATAAGGTATGGGAATAGGGTGTTTTATAAAATATTCCCATAATATATCATGGAACAAGAGTTGCCGTTTACCAAACACTTACCCATTAAGTGCTTACCGGTAAAATTTAACACTATTATTTACTTACTAGATAAGATTTTAGTCCACGAGAACGACATCGTATGCAACAATTTTCCCGGTAAGCGCTTACCGTGGTAAGAGTCGTCGTACTCACTTACTGGGTAAGACTCATGGTCCTTGTCCCGCTCTTATTGAGTAAGATTATTGGTCCTTATCATATTCATCCGATGAGGTAACGTGACTTGGTAAGCACTTACCCGGGTTTGTGTTGAAATAAATAAATAAAATAATGGTGACTGTATTTGATGATTTTTTTCGATCTTTGGGCCTTTGTTGGTTAATAAACTGTCAAAAGAACCTATGCCCTTTGGCCCAGCCAGTATCTGAACCCTTATCATTTTTAATCTCATATCCACCCATGAATTGCGTTTTTGAAGGGAATTGATCTGATGCATCTCGTTGCACCTCTTACCGTTGACACTCAATTATGATTGATCCAAGAGTGGAGATCTCTTCTTACGCTTCTCAACATAATTTCTCACCGGAACCCTACCCCTAACAGCTTATTAAGAATTAGTAGTGCTTATTAATGCATAATCTCTTAAATACAAGTTTACGACTTATTACTATTAGACTTCAGTTAAGTTCCTTTTATCGATATCGTTATCACGTTTTTAAACTCCGCACAATCTTCGTACTCAACAGGCGTTTCTTTTATGTTTGTCATCCGGTTGCAGTATCACTTGGTTCAACACGATCTGCTTCGTTTTATGCATCAAAAACTTCCCGGAAAACTGGCCGCTTGCTGTATCTCTTAGCGTTAGTTTCAATGGAGTAACCGCAGCTCTATACAACCTCATCGTCACTAAAATAAGCTCGGATGCTAAAAATGGTTCATACCTTATACTAAACGCTTTTCTCCCTTTAATCACATCGGTTGCAGCGCTAATCCCGATCCTTCAACAACCTTGCTCGCGGAAAAACCTTCACGTGGAAAACGCAGCCGACAAAGAAGATGCATATACATTTGGGTTTTTGTATCTATTAGCAGCCGGTACGGGCCTATATCTATTCTTTCTAGATACAACGTCACAAAATATATTCATCGTGGCAACGTTGTTGTTGGTGCTTCCGATGGTCTGGTTGAAATTTCGGATTTTCCTTTTTAACGAGGAATTGCGTTCAGAAGGGCACCCTGTTGAAGGACCGAGTTACAGTTTGGTCGAAATCAACAATTACGAAGAGCTTTCCGAAGAGAGTTTGAGTTCTATCTCGAACCAAAAGTCATTTGGTTGTCGGGTTTTCGATAAAATGATTGAGAAAGATCGAGTAACGGTGATTGGTGAGGAACATACGGTTAGGATGTTGGTGACTCGATGCGATTTCTGGCTTTACTTTGTTGCGTATTTTTGTGGGGGTACTATTGGACTAGTTTACAGCAATAATCTAGGCCAAATATCGCAATCACGTGGGTACGTTTCCGAGACCAGATCACTTGTTACGATCTATTCTACGTGCTCGTTTTTTGGTCGGCTTATTTCGGCTGGGCCGGACTTGGTTGGCGGCTTTTACCCGTCAAAAACGTATACAAGTAAGTATAAAGCTGATGTAACGTTTGTAGGGGCATTGTTAACGCGTTTTCGTTGTACACTGCAACAAAATGGGTCTTTAGGATGTTCAGCCGTCCGAGGGCATCATATATTACTCCTTCTGTTCCAAAATAAATGTCCACACTGAAAAAAACATATTGTTTGACAAATATATAATTATCGCTCTTTTTAATTAATTAAATGACAATTTTACCCTTAATTATAGATGGAATAAATATTGCATGGTTAAGGGTAGAATTGAAAAGTAGATACTTATTTTGGACAAACTAATATAGAAACATGGACATTTATTTTGGGACATTTATTATACTTTTTAATTAGATAAATGACAATTTTTCCCTTAATAATAGAAATTAATGATTTATGCATCTCATAATTAAGGGAAGAATTGGAAAAGAGGCATTTACTTTTGAAAGTGGACATTTAGGGACCGTTAACCAAACACTTACCCGGTAACGCTTGCCGGTAAAATTCAACATTATCATTTACTTACTGGGTAAGATTTGAGTCAACAAAAACGGCATCATATGCAACAATTTACCCGGTAAGCACTAACTGTGTTAAGAGTCGTCAGCCTCACATACCGGGGAAGACTCTTGGTCCTTGGCTTGGTCTTACCGGGTAAGAATCTTGGTCTTTGTCATATTMATCCGGTAAGATAATGTGACTTAGCGTTTACCTGGGTAAAGCGTTTGCTAAACGGCCCTTTACTTTAGGACAAACTAAAATAGAAGTGTTCACATTGTTTCGGGACCGAGGGAGTAGTTATTAGGGCGAAGTTAGGCGATCTAACAAGTTCTGTCTATGAAGTTGGACGATCTAATAAGACACAAAAAGTAAATCGTCTTATTAGCCTTTTTATATGACATTTTTGAAAAGCGTCCTATAAAAAGACATATATAATACCTTTTAAAAGTATCATATAATAGGCTAATAAGACGATTATTTCTTGTATCATATCAGATTTCCCAACTTCGTCAACAGAACTTGTTAAGTCGCTTAACTTTATCCTATTATTGTATCACCATTGTATATGACTCGGTACTATAAACCTAAGTCCTATTAAGGTGCCGTTTACCAAACGTTTACCCGGGTAAGCGCTTACCAAGTCACATTACTTTACTGGATGAATATGGTAAGGACTAAGAATCTTACCCGGTAAGAGCGAAGGCAAGAGTCGAGGGTCTTACCCAGTAAGTGAGGTCGACGACTTTTTCCATGGTTAGTGCTTACGGGGATAAATTGTTGCATACGATGCGTTTTCGTGAATAAAGTCTTACTCGGTAAGTAAACGATAATGTTGAATTTTACCGACAAGCGCCAAGCGCTTACCGGGTAAGTGTTTAGGTAAACGGCCCCTAAGTCACCCAAATACAGCTAGACGTCCTAAAAAGCCTATTTTGTTGTTGTTATACGTCATTAGCAAATTATCGTCACTAATTATTCTTGGTTTATAACCGAATGCAGAAAGATACACAACAACTAGGACCGGATGGCTAGCTCTTTCGCTCGTGCCAATGCCCATCGCTTTCCTCATGCTAGTTCTCTCCGGCACCGAGAGTGCGTTGAGTACAGCCACAGGGTTGATAGGAATCTCCTCCGGGTTCGTATTTTCAGCAGCAGTTTCAATAACCTCTGAGCTTTTTGGTTCAAAAAGCTCGGGAATCAACCATAACATCCTCATAACCAACATTCCGTTGGGATCACTACTATACGGCGCTCTTGGAGCTGTAATTTACGACAACCAGATCAAAAGCTCGGCGGAGGTGGTGGTCGTGGGTGGATCGAAGGTATGTATGGGTCGAAACTGCTATAACGAGACGTTTGGGTGGTGGGGTTGCGTTTCGTTGTTCGGTTTAGCCGCCAGCTTTCTGCTGTTCTTGAGAACTAAAGGTGCTTATCAGAGAAGACATTGGATCTCAAGGGTCTGAAAGCCCGATGTTAATATAATTTACATGATATTATAAAGCATTTGATAAAAAAACTGTTAAAAACAGCTTATTAAGTATTAGATATTGTTTATTAACGTATTCCAGAACTCAAGTTTACAGTTTATCTATACTACCTTATAAACCAGATTTATTAAAAGTTTTAAAAACAATTTTTAATGCACAAAGTACTATACATTTATGCATAAAGTCTTAAAAGTTTTAAAAACAACTCATAATGCATTAAGTACTATTATTTTATGCATTCAGTCTTAAAATTTCTTAATTTACAATTAAAATAACATATAGTACAAGTTACCAATGCACGTTATTATTATTATTTTTTCATATTCCGGAGATACTTTTGATACATTTCACTCATGCATTTACTCTCTCATACCTCTATGTCTTCTTCTCATTCCCCAATGTGAGATTCAAAGTGATATTTACCATGAGTTATTAAAAGTTATCTCATTCAATTGCTCTACAACTCTCGGTCTCGCTCTCGGTCTTTTGATTCTTTACTCTTGGTGTAAATCGAACACATTTGTGGAGTCATTTAAATATGTTGGATTTTAAATATATTGGATTCTAAACAGTTATACAATAGTTTTTTTTCCATCGATATACTATAATTGGAACCACAACTCTTATTTATTCAAATTGTATTAATATGTAAAGATCAAATGTAACTTATATTATCGTTAAATATTTTCTAATAAAACCATTAAAACTTCAAAATCGTTAAAATTCATGGCTCTCGCCGCATTGCGTGGGTAAACAACTAGTTATTGAATTAAAACATGCAACTTCTTAAAACCCCACGTATGAACTTTATTTAGTCAACTAATTAATATTCTTAAATACAAGATAAATGTTGAACCTTGTTAATACAACAGAATATTTTATAGATTTCATTTTTTTCCTTTATCGTGTGGAATTGTGTTTAACTCGCTCGTTGATCATCGGTATTGAAGTTTTAAAAGAAAATAGCAGTTATAACGATTTATATCAATTACACAGTGTTTTACATGATGACCTTTTTGTCTGGTTACAACCGGTTTTTGCTATCTTTATTTAAAAACCCATAAAAATATGATAATTTTGAGAACCGATGCTTTCACATCTTTTTTTTCATCTATGACTTAGATTTAGTTTATTAATTAACATATATTTGTTTCACAACGTGAACATTTTTTTATATGTTTGTGAAACAAAAAATACAAGTAAAAAGCTTTATATTGTGGACTGAATACATATGAAACAAACATATAGAAAAACAAATATATTAAATTTGTAATCTTAAATGGAAAAAAAATCATGTTCACAATAACTTACAATAATAGTTCTTACAATTCTCACGGTGGGGTTCTCACATGATTAAGCCTCTCTCTCTCTCTCTCTCTCTCTCTCTCTCTCTCTCTCTCTCTTTATATATATATATATATATATATATATATATATATATAAAAGGGGTAGGTTCCGTTGAAAATGAAAATTATGATGAAAAAATGATAAGAAGAGATCTTAACCCTTGGATCAATCTTAATTGCATCTTCACACTAATGAAATGCACAACATTAGTTCTCATATCAAGCGCAATTCATGGAATAAGATATGATTAAAAGTGATCAAAAATCCAAATCCCTTTCTTTTTTTACGTTTCTTAGTTCTTGCCTTAACTTTCATTCTCACTCAATCCTTCACCTTCAACAAGACAAACCGTCCAATTGCTATGAACAACACAAACAAAATCTAGGCCCTTAAATTTTGTTTATTTTGAAATCTAAAGACAGTTATTAAATCAGTTAAAGATGAGACTGAAAGTAAATTTAAAAGTTGATTTAATCTACGCCGTTGATCATCGTTAAGATCGGTTTGTATATTTCATAACAATGTATTTTAAACACCAGCTACTGCAGTTACAACACAAAATATTAATTGTATTTTAAGCAAACCTATAAACCACAAGCTCCCATTCATGCCATTTTTTTCTGTTCCCAAAATTTGTATACAATTATCCCAAAGAAAAAGCCTTTTACCTAAATACACATAAAATTAACAAAGAAAATAAAATCAAACAACCCGTCGGCATCGGAATAACAGGTGATGCAAAGTAAAACGTAAAAGGAAACCGTAACTCAGCTGGTTGAAACGGGCGCCTTCTTCTGCGCTGCATATTTCCCAAATCGTCTTGAAATGGCCGCGTCTGTTAATGTGTCCCACAACTGCAGGAAAACGATTAACGGACAAAATGATTCTCTGAAGCATTATACAACGGAAAAATAGCATTTCATAGAATACAACTCTGATGTAACGATAAAGAATACAGGTCCGTTTTCGATAGAAAGATGAAAACTTGTGCAATTTCGCTATTGATTCAGGATGAGTTAAGAAAACAGTTCTTTATCTAATCTGTGAAAAAAGATGGGTGATTTAGAAACCTAAAATTTGTGGAAAACAGTTCTTTAACGTTCGACTATTCTGATATGCCTCAATAACGACAAAATAGAAGAATCTTGTAGACCACGATCAATGGCATTAATACCATGATCAGCGTGGGCAAATGGGTAACTTTGACTTGAAATTTTGTCAAAGAGAATTATTAGTTGCAGCTATTGTGCGACTTGAAATGAGAATTACAACAATACTGGGGACGAATGGAACAAGGCTTACCTCCAAATTTCCTTTAGAGCCACCGAGAGCCAGCAAAAAGGGACAATCCGTCGAGAAAGATAAGGAAAACACAGCTCCCTGAATGTTGAAACAAAGAAACGATCAAGCTTCTATAATAGATTATGCTAGCTGCACTAATTTCCCAAGAATCTCCATATCATGTAGGGCAAATTGCATGAAAATGGCAAAATGCAACGAACTCCGACTCTTATTTTGTGTAACGTACTTCCAAAACCTTCATTTTGGTACCCCAGATGTGATATCTCAAAACATTAGACCAAATTACGTCACAAAAAATAGAAATCAGACCAAAATATGTTGCATTTTCATCATTATCGGATGTAAACCAGGTACCTACATGTTTGAGATGTCACATCTGAGGTACCAACATTAAAGTCCAAAAAGTACTTTACACAAAATAGGAATTTGATCAAAGTACGTCATGTTTTCATGCAATTTATAGTATTATATATATATATATATATATATATATATATACAAGTCAAAATACATACGGCTTTGCGATTCTGTGAGGCAATACATGAAGGTTGATTATTTGACAAATCCCATAGTTTGACCTGTCATTGCAGAAAGAAAAGAAATTAATCATAATGCAAAACATCCATGATGTTAATGGATATTTAATATACCGCACGTTAAATTACCATTTTGTCTTGAGAGCCGGTTGCTAGAAGCTGGAAATAGCATCGATGAAGTTAATAAAACATGAATTGTAACTCCATAAAAACAAATTAATCTGCACGATGCGAAGTCAAAGGCTTACATGTGGTACGACAGGGTTATAAGAAACAGAACAAACAGCTTTGTCATGTGCATGGAGAGTGAAATTTGGTTTTAATTCCGCTGTTGAATTGGATGTTGCGGTCCTGATATCAAAACCAACAACGGTCCCGTTCTCTAGACTCACCTGAAAACAAAAAATACAATTAAAGTTGCAATGTCTAGCCCCGTGAACACATGCATCACAAAATTAAATGTCATAAACTGCATTTGATTCTAATACAATTCACTTCGGCTAGATCCTATCCAATTTTTGCCTCTTCTTTTCCCTCTGAATCAAACTTTTTTTTTGCCATACTCGTTTGTTAATCACTTCCATAATGAGTACCGTGTTACCCACGAGTAATAATTCTACCAAAGGGGATCCTATTACAGAAATAGCTTCGGAGGAAGATCCCAAGGGATTTGCATCCAAGATCACACGTTGAGGGTTATCACAGAAACAGCCGCTCTACTATTTGGGGTTGAAGTCAGGTACGCGTACAACCCACCCCCCAAACCTCATCTCGGGGCTAAATATACTGGGTTTGTTTGGTTTAGTTTTTCACTTGTGTCCAAGATGGGGTGAGGTCTCATGCTCAATTTCTACTAGATGTAGTCGGTTTCTTTGAGGCTTCACCCAATGGCTTAAACACCTAAAACTTAATCAGTTCGGGTTCATTTGGTACGCGGACAGGACTAGACGGGACTGGACAGGCAAGAGTGAGGTAGATGGGTGAAAGAATTGTGAAGGGTTTTACGGTTTTAATTTGACATGGTTAGTTTGGTAATTTACCAATCTTGTCTCGTCTACCTTATTCTTGTTCCAACTATTTTGATGGGACAAAAAATGCATTTTTGTCCCACTCAGGTCCCATCATGTCCTAGTCTAATGTTGTACCAAACATCAGACAACAAGTTCTTGTACTGTCTTGACCCATCCTCTCCCATGTACAGAACACACCCTTCATTTGGAGAAATGTTTTGCATGAATCCCGTGGACTGACTAATATCTGAAGCCACAGTTACAATAATATATATATACAACCAACTTGCTAGCACAAATATGGCTATATGGCAAAAGCGTATACACTTGATTGTGCTCCTAAAGGTTCTATTCCGTGCGCTTATTGTGTGATATTTAAAAGTGTAGCACTAACCACAAACGAGTGCTGATCATGTGGATCCCATGCCAAGCTTTCGACGTCAGCACCAACGGACCACTTAAACCCTGAATGTGAAGGAACCCTTCCGTCCCTCTGTAACGTAACAAAACCGATATAAAAAAAATGTCACAAGAAAAATTATAAACAATAAATATGAATGGAATGTCCGCTCGTAACATCATTTAGGTCAGGGGTGGATCCGTAGCCATCTAAAATATCCTTTTTGTAGTGTAAAAATAAATATAAATGAATAAAATTGTCATGGTAGTGCAAACAGTGCATTCTCGGGATATAAAACCTGAGTTCGCCACTTTAGGGCGACCATTTTGTAGATTTTTCAAGTGGTAAATGAGTGTTGGCGTTTGTAAATTGATCATTAAATGCTATGTGGCTGAATCACTAACGAAAGTTGGTTAATCTTTCACTGTTGGAGATGATTTGCAGCCACTCAAAGCATTTTACCAGTTGAAACTGTTGTAGCAAATAACAACCAATTTAAGTATCATCAACCATGGTGTTGCTCATAGAGAAATGTTAAGATTCAAAAAGACCATCACCATGACTACTGAATGATCGAAGGACCCACTGAGAAGAACTTCATGCTCATGATGATTCCATGCAACTGCTTGAACCTGAGGATGTTTAGAGGAAAAACATAAGAACGCGAAGATGGGCAAGTCCCTAGAAATATAAGCACAAATTATTATTTGGTCAATATGGTTTTTGAATGACAATGACATACGTAATTTGTGCATAAAATGACTAGATTTCAATCACTCTTTATTAAATTGGAGTTGATCACCATTTTTTGTAACAACGCATCTTAGGGGTGAGTCTTGAACCAATCTGTATGACTCCTTTATGATCAGAAGGTTGAGACCTCTTTGCAAAAACGCATGTGAAAGGCTCTGTATAAAGACTCCCCCCAAAAGTATAAACTAGTACTGATGTACTCCCTCCGTGCCCAAAATAAGTGTCCATTTTCAAAAGTAAGTGCTATTTTCCAATTCTGTGCTTCATTATGAGATAGGGAAATTCATTACTCCCGATATTATTTATGATAAAATCGTCATATAGTTAACTAAAAAGTGTAATAATTCAACTATTCTAAAATTGTGTGCGTTTTCCAATGTAGACATTTATTTTGGGACGGAAGGAAAAGTATCCTCCATTAGATGAAGATACAATTAATAAAATATTGAATCCACGAGCAACAACTTGGTCCACACGCAAACTAGAAACTAGAGAAGACAGAGTTTGCCTTATCAGTATGGTGCTCCATGGTAATCTTGCATTTCCCAGTTGCCACATCCCAAATTTTCACCAGTTTGTCAGCACTAGCACTGGCAAGAATATTCCTGTGTATCGAGGTAACAAATGGACATGAGCATTGTGAAAACGTCATCAAAATATAAGATCCATAGAATATTTACGTACCTATAGCCCTTGTTCCAAGCTAGACCAAGTACTGCATCGGTGTGACTATCTTCTTTGTACTTGATAGATTTCTACAAGCACCAAATATACAATTTTGGCTTTACAAGTGAAAAAAGAAAAGAAATCCAAGATGAAACAGGAAAATCTCGACAAATGTATTCTATGATTTGATGTAATAACCGTTTTAATCTACAAATACAAATGTTCTTATGAATTTCTGGAGTTAAAAGACTAACACATTTGGACTTTCAAGGTGTTTACAAGTATAATAAGAAGTGTTTAAGAACGTTTACTTTGAAATGTATGGGAAAACAAAGATCTGAAACGAATTAACCACAAAACAGGAAGTAACTGAAAATTCTTAGAATGACAAGAAACAGCAGGTGAACGAGTGGATACCTCGACCTTCTTTCCGTTCTTCTTTTTCTTCTTTTTCTGCTCAGCAACACCACCTAATATAAGTGAGGGTTGGACTTCATCCATCTGACGACAGCGGAGAGCACATGAGTCAGTCACTTGCAACATCTTAATACATTGATAAAAAGAACCAACAAATTGATTAGAAAAATCAAAATCCCCATACGATATCAAGGTCCCATATTTCAATGGCTGGTTCCATCGAGCCCACAGCTATGAAATTTCCTGCCAAACATACAATATCAATGAGCTATAACACAATGGAGTAGGGCACATTAAACATAAGTTATAACATATTATCTTAAATGTATCTAAACATAATTTATGAACTCCCTAAAGAAATCTGAAAGTGAATAGATGTTACCTTTTTCTCCGCCTTTAATTGGACAATCAAGCCACGCCGTGCACAAAGGAAATGCTGGGATAAGAATGTCATGGTGAACGTACATGTTTGAATCACCATCTGGGTCCTCAATTATCCACACCTGTTTGAACACACAAATTAGCACATCAAAATGTAAAGGATGACTAAGGGGTTGTTTGGTTGGTTTTCCATTTAAGTCTTGTATGGATAAAGTTATACATGTGGATTAATCTGTCTGTATAGATTGCAGAAGGTTTTTGTATGGGATAGTTTTCTATAGATGGAAGGAGCTTGTTTTTTAAATGGGAGGGACAGGTTTAGAAAAAAAAAACTTGGCTTTGTGCATAAAGCTCCCCCTAAAAGCTTACTAAATAAGCCATTTTCTATACCCTTATGCCACTACCAAACAGTCATGTATAGCTGAACGAATAATCTGTGTGTCCCATTAAGCTCATTAAACTACTAACAAACAGGCCCTAAGGCAAATATATGCTATTAACATTCCATACCTCTAAATGACTCATATCATCCTCATTACGTGCACAAACTACAACAGCATCTTCGGCTTTGATAATGATGTCTTCTAGCTCTTCTGAATCATCATCATCCTGAAGAACAAGAATTAGAGAATCTTAAGGCTGCAATTTTAACCTCAAAATCCAATGAGCAAACTGAAAGAAGATAAATGCATATGGAATTATGCAACTTACGTCTTTATCTTTAATGTAAGGGTCTAATTCATTGCTTGGGTAGAAAGTGTCAGCAATCCCCGAACCAAAAATGTCAATGGCTGATGTCAACCAATAAAAATGCATGACGTGTTAAAACCATACTGAACCAACAGAACAAGTTACACAAAATAAAGATACTACAGTAGCATCACACATTGCTGTTATAATATAAACCAATATAGTATGGCACATTAAACATAATATATATACGAATAATATCTTAAAGGGTGTGTTTGGCACTTTGGTATGACGAGAATGGACAGATGAGAGAGGTAAAAGGGTGAAAGAATTGTGGAAGGTTTTAGGGTTTTAATTTGATATGAGCAGTTCAGTAATTTACCAATCTTGTCTAATCTCCCCGATTTATGTTCCACCTTTTTGGTGGGACGATAAAATACATTTTTGTCTCACTCGGATCCTGTCCTGTCACAATTTAATGTCACTCCAAACATGGCACAAGTTTTTGTATTGCCGTCTACCAAACGCACCCAAAGAGAAGAAAAGAAAAGTGTTGACAAATGAAATACCATCATCCTCGTCATCATAATCATCCATGTTTAATTCATCTAGACCATCTGTTATGTCAGGGAGCTCAGATCCACCAGCTTTCCTTACGGAAAGCTTACCAAGTGCATTAGCTGCACCTAATGCTTGTTCAACATCGGCAGGCTCTTTGGATGCATCAACACTCATATCTTCTTCGTCTTCCTCACTTTCAACACCTACACTGCAGACATCAAAAAGTAGGCCCAGAAAGGTCAAATACTATAACAAATTACAAATTTGCATAATTTTATGTATCAAGCCTTCTCAAAATCGTGATTTAATTCATTCAAGAAGTCCAACATGTATCAAAGAACATCCCAACCACTTGAGGTTCCAGACCAATCGTTATCCTTAAATCTATAGCATTGAAATAAGTATTTCCAAGTTTAAAGCTGGAGTAATTTATTAAAACTACAAGCTCTTATGACCAATGCTCTAAAACCCTACTTATGGCCATTTTGGTCAATTGCTACTCCCTTTGGTTTTCTTTGTTAGCTGTCCCAACCAACTTCGAATAAGAGGCTTGCACTTGTTGAAGAAAGCAAATTCAATACCCAATTAGATGAGGATAATTTTTTTCAAAAAGATATATTCTACTTTTGTGTGTGTACATATATATAGAGAGAGAGAGGGGGGGAACCTCCAAAAGAATGAAAAACTGAGAAGCACTCTGGTAATCGTTCATCTGGACGGTATGCACATGTGCATACAAGTAATTGAAGTTGTTTCTTGGTTTTTATACACGTGCGCATGTTCAACATGTGCATACCAGACAAATTGCTTACAAATTACCTGTATGCACAAGTGCATACAAGTACTTTGTAAGCCAACCCTTTGTATATAGGGACAAGTCAAGTAAAACCACAAAAAAATGAAAAGACGAGGAGCACCTTGGTAACCATTCATCTCGATGGTATGAGCATGTGCATACAAGTAATTGAAGTTATTTCTTGGTTTTTATGCATGTGCGCACATGTTCAACATATGCATAGCAGAAAAAATGATTACAAATTACTTGTATGCACATGTGCATACCGTCCGATTGAACAGTTACCAGGGTGTTCCTCGTCTTTTCATTTTTTTGTGGTTTTACTTGAACTTGACCCTACATATATAAAGGGTTGGGTTCCGGTGAGGAGGCGTAAGAAGAGATGTCCAGCTTGGATCAACCCCAAAAGAATGTCAACACTAATGAAGTGCACCTCATACCTTCTATAGCACAACATGAGATTAAAAGAGATCAAGGATTCAGATTTCTTCTTAAGGTTCTCACCATAACTTCCGTTCTCACACGATCTTTCAGCTATACATACATATATATAAATAAAAATCTCCTCATAGTATTAATGCATCAATAGCCTCTCCTGCCTCTCAAAAACATCAATATCTTGCTAGAAATCAAGGTGGGATATGCGCATATCATATCCATCATGAAAAAGCGCAAAGTAGCATAGAACCCTAAAAAACGTACCCCTTTTCCACAAGAACATTCTTCTTTATCTCTTCAAGTTCCTCTTTTGAAGGAGGATCAGCTGCAGAAGGGACAGCTTTTGAAGCCCCTTTAGGAACCCAAGATATTGCTGCAATCATTCTTCACAATCAACTTCTGCAAACACACGATAAATGGTTTCCTGTAAGCTTCGTCACCACATGAAAGGATTCGTATTTATTGGGAAGAAGAAAGTATTACATGTTCATATCAAACATCACTATAAGACTTCCGATATAACATTGAACAAAGGAATACGAGCTAGGAGTCTTACCTTATCGTCGCCGGGCGAGTGGCTGAGTCTGGACGATAGTCGGCCGGGGTTTTGGGGGCTGAGGCGAGGGTTTTGTTCAAAGCAAACTTATGGGGGAAATAGAGGCCAAGGTTGTCGTCGACCGATGATATAACGAAAATTAATTTATCCAAATAACTTATTATCACTTTTTTTCAATTAAAACATTCATTAACATTAATTATTATCAACGATAATAAATATTAATAAAATGTAAAACATTTTTAATATCAATAAAATTTAAATATTATTAATATTGACTAGTTGTGTACCCGTACAATGCGGCGGGAGCCATGAATTTTAACGATTTTAAAGTTTCACCGGTTTTATTAGAGAAGATTTAACGATGATATAAGTTACACTTGGTCTTTATATGTTAATACAATTTGAATAAATAAGAGTTATGGTTCCAGTTATAGTCTATCGATGGAAAAAATTGTATGACAGTTTAAAATCCAATATATTTAAAATCCAACATATTTAAATGACTCAACAAATGTGTTTGATTTACACCAAGAGCAAAGAATCAAGAGATCGAGAGTCTTAGAGCAATTGAATGGTAGATGAATGAGATGACTTTTAATAAGTCATGGTGAATATGAGTTTGAATCTCACCTTTGGGATGATGGGAGAAAACATAGAGGTATGAGAGGGTGAAGACATAAGTGAAAAGTGTCAAAAATATCTTGGGAACATGAAAAGAAGAGATAATAATATACATTGGTAACTTGTACTATATTTATTTTAATTGTATATTATGATATTTCAAGATTGAATGCATAAAGTAATAGTACTTATTGAATTATGAGTTGTTTTTAAGACTTTTAAGACTTTGTGCATAAATGTATAGTATTTTATGCATTAAAAATTGTTTTTAAGACTTTTGTCTAGTTTATAAGGTAGTATAGATAAATATTAATTAGTTATCAACTAATATTTATTACTTATATTTTATACATTAATATTAATTACTAATTTTTAAGATAATTATTAATCT